AGGAGAGCGTCACCGCTGGGTGCGCCCCCTCCACGCATGGCCTCTGGGTCCCTGGCGACAGGTGCAGCCGCTGTCTCGGCCGCCCGCTGTGCCAGGGCGGCTGCCGCGCACTGGTGCGGAACCACTATCGGAACGAGTTTGGCTTCTGTTTACAAAGCAATCCTGCCATCAAAAGAGGAACAAAATCACCACTTATCACACCCTGTCATAAAGTAATCTGCCCGGGAGGGAAACCCTAGCGGAGAACCGCGCTGAGTTGTGGGGGCGGGGACAGAGGGGACCGAGGAAAGGAGAACTCTCTCGACTCTGCTGCGGAGTGGGTCGCTAGGAGGGTCGGGAAAGACCGAGGGTACCGGGAACTCTGGAGTAGGGGCGTGACCCCGCCGGGGCAGGGCCTAAGCACGCCGAATTGCTCTCTTGTCTCTCTGGCATAGGCCCACCCGGAGCTTCCTCCTCCGATGTGATGTTTGCTCTCCTAGTGTCTCTGCAGATACCCCCGAGGTGATCAGCAACATTTTCTAAAAAGCGAATTCTTGGACACTGGAAAGTCTTTTCCCCAGTCTTTGACAGCACAGGCACAGAATTCCCGACCAGTTCTGCTTTATCCCTCCCCACCCCCACCCCCAACTTAAACTATGCACTTGCTCCTGCCGGGGCAGGCAGAGTTGCAGGAGGACCAGGCAGTGCCCACCAAACGGCCAGGAAACTGCAACAGTGGAGGAAGACTGCCTTGGTAGAACTCACTACTGATCTGGATCCAGCCCCAGCCCCCCTCTGCAGTCACCGCACTCCCAGTTCCTGCCCGGTCTGAACAGAGGTGAGAACTCCTCTAGGTGGAACAGGCAGAGTGGGAGGGGAGCGAATTCCTCCCAGGTGTCCCTTCTCTTGAGTTGTCCGTCACAGGGGAAAGGTCAAGACATGGAGCATCCCTTGCCCTCCAGGTGTTCCCTATGAAGCCATTACTTTGCTGGTCTTTGCATCAACACTTCATTGAGTATGACCAGTCCTGATCACCATTACAGCTCCCTCCCACCCAGCCACTGAGTATGACCAGTCCTGGACACCATTACAGCTCCCTCCCACCCAGCCACAAGCTGCCCATCCTGCCCTGTCCATTCTAGACAGCAGTGGGACTCATTCATGTAGCAGATCAAGCATGTGATGACTTGGGAATCAACTGTGTGTGGCGTGACACAGCCTGGATCTGGGACTTTCAGTCCCTGGAACTGTAGCCTGCAAAGACTGCAAGCATTAGCCCTGAGAGACGATCACAGAACACCGTGGCTCCTGGCGGGGATATCCTGAGCCAAGGAATAAGTTTACTGTCCACACTGCAGGCAGAATACTCAACTTCAGATTTGCTCATATGGAGGGCCTGGGGGAGGCTGCTTCATCTGTCATAATTCCTGCTCATCCACGCTGTGCTGGCTGCGCAAAGCCTCTGAGAGGTGAAGGATTGCGCTTCCCAGAGAACGGGGAGCTGGAGCGCAGCAGGCAGGCAGAAGCACCCAGAATGCAAGGGGAGAAGCTCCCTGCAGCTTCTGCCCCAAAGAAAGTTGCCTGGGGCAGCAGATGACCTGGGGCAGTGGCTTCCCACTTTGCTGTAGATTAGCATCATCTTGAGAGTTTTTAAAATCTTGATGCCTGGGATCAGGGTCCGCACGGTAAAGCCGCCGCCTGCCATGCTGGCATCCCAGATGGGCACCAGTTTGTGTCTCAGCTGCTCCACTTCTGATCTAGCTCCCTGCTAATGACATGGGAAAAAGCAGCCGAAGACAGCCCAAGTCCTTGGGTTCCTGCACCCACGCAGAGACCCGGAAGAGGCTCCTGGCTACTGGCTTCAGCCTGGCCCAGCCTTGCCTGTTTCAGCCATCTGGGGATTGAACCAGTGGATGAAAGATCTTTCTCTTTCAAAATGCATTAATCTTTTTTTTTTTTTTTTCCTTTTTAATCTTGACTCCCAAGCAGATCCCCAAACCAATTACATCAGAATTCCTGGCGGGGAGGACCCAAGCGTAAATATTTTAAAAGTGCTTAAGGTGGTGCTAACATGCAGTCAAAGTTGAGAATGGCTTAGGGTAGTGGTTCTCAAAGTGTGGTCCTGGGACCGGCAAGATCACCATCCCTGGGGGAACTTGCTACAAGTGCAGATTAACAGGTGACAGTCTGGCCCTGGTGGACACTTTGCGGACCAAACTCGGCAGTAAGTATTTTAACAAGCCCTAGTGGTCAGGCTGGTGCACTTGCAAATTTGGGGACCACTTAGAAAAAGGTATGTCTCTGTCTGAGGCAAAGTCCGGGGTGAGAGGCTGACTTTAAAACGTGCATCCACTCCTCATCCGCTGGCCTTGTGAACAGTTCGAGACCCCTACTTCACCTGACCCTGCATAAAAGCAGTGCGTGTCCAGTCCTAGGCACTGGGGGCCGGGGGTAGGAGTAAACCTCTCAAACAGACCGCTCACACTGGGACGAACCAACCTAAGAACCCATGTCCTTGTCAGCCGGAGCCTGCAAGCCAGCGTTTCCCGTCATCCCTCGGTGGGGTGGGCGGGTTTTCAAGCGACAAATGTTAGGGACCGCACCATAGGGTGGGGTGTCTCCTGGTCTACGAGAAAATCCAGACAAATCTCCGGGTTTACTCGGAACCAGCCGTGTAACTTTTGCTCCACCTCAGGGCCTTTTCTTCCTAGGTTTCCCCTCTTCCGCCTCCTCCCACCGCCACCCCCGAGTCTCGGCCTCGCGAGCTCTGCCCAGGTGCTTGGGACTTGTTCTCTGCACCTGGAACCCGAAAACCCAGCGCGTCCTGAAGTCGCCCAGCTCCTGCTAAATGAGGACTCACATTTCCACTGCCCACTCCACGCTATCTCCAAACTCGCTGCGCAGGCGGTCCCAGCGCCCTCGCCGATACTGTCCCTGCACAGGGCCAGGTGCCCTGTGTTTGCACAGAAAGGCCTTTGGGTCTGCGGGAGGCGCGGCTCGGATGCCTCTTCCTGGAGCTGGCGGCCAGCCGGGCATGCGGCAGCCTCAGCCTTCCGCGCACGCGGCAGCCTCAGCCTTCCGCGCCAACCTGAGGGCGAGCGCTCCGGCTCCACCCCGTCCACCCCGCTCTGCGGGCAGCTGGAGCGCGGGCGCCGCTGCCCCTCGGGCCACGTTATCTACAGGAGGGTGTGTGCCCGGGTGGCTCTGCCTCGCCTCGGGTGGGGCCCGGTCCCCATTCGGGGAAGCGGCTTTGCCTGGAAACCGCACTCTGGGCAAACAGGTGGGCGCTACTTACAGGCGGCGCGCAGGGGACGCGCGGGGACCCCAGGCGAGCAGCGGGCTCGGGCTCCCCGACGGCCGCCGCCGCCTCGCTGCGCCCACCCGGCCGGCTCCCGGGCGGCGGCCGCGTCCTGCGGAGGGCGCCCCCGCCAGACCGTCCCCGCTGCGCCCTGGCGCCAAACCCGGGCGGGCCTGGGGCGGAGCGGGGAGCCCATGGAGCTGGTTCCCATTCAGAACTGGGAGGCCGGCGGAGACAGGGAGTCTCCTGAAAGTCTGGGAAGGAAGCCTGCGAAGTTTGCGGCAGGCGAAGCCCGGGCTGTGGCCAGGGCCCGGTCCCGAGGCCCTGTGCGCGGACGCCTCCCGCCGCCGGCAGGGATCCGGCTGTGGATGCCCTCGGACAGGGCTCCGTGTACTTTCAGTTTGTCTTGGTTGATTAATGGCGGAATAGCCTGGCTCTGCCATTGTCGCTGAACAAGACGAGGTAAGGCTTTCTATTTAAAAGTGAGGGCACCTGCTTCGCCCTTTCTGCCTTCCCCAAGCAAGCACACCTCGCTCTGCGGCGACCCAGACTTGACATTTCATTGCCTCTTCTTGGGACCACGGACTGAAAAAGCACCAATGTGGGCTGCTTCGGGATCTGCCACACTCCCACCTTTTAATCTCTGCTCCTAACCTAACAGTCGAGCCTCATCACTTTCGCACGTGTTGCTGAAAGAAAAGACCTACGGTGCAAGGGCGCTGTGTGCCTGCGGAGCCTGTACAAGATTTTCTTTTTTTTAATCAAAGATCACAAAAATGACACACCAGCTATCTCTGGCTTTCCAATCACGGATTCGAAGCTCAAGGGTTATGTTGCTTCTAGAGTATGGAGGAGTTTTTTGTTTTAAGTCATATAACCCTCACCCCTCTATCCCTCCTCCCCCCCCCCAAAAAAAAAACCCCACAGTATTTAACTTGTCTCAGGGGCCCCGGGGAGGCATTGTTCAAATGGCATTGTGTTTTTCTGTATTTATTTCAACATGGCAAGTTGTATTCAAAACCCAAGCTGACAATTTAACAAGGCCAGATCAAGTATATGAGGATTTTTTTAACTGACAGAGCACACATCACTTCATCTGTTTCCAAGCCCACACTGTGCTCTTTCTGCGTCTTACAATGTAAATTGTATAACATTTTCGAATTAGATAATTTCAGCCATGATGTTGTGAAAATAGGAATTACACAATTCTTCTTTGAAGTGTGGCACTCAGAAGAATGAAAAGGAAGTTTTCTCTCTGGAAGTGATTGAAAGCAAACACCAGGACCTGACAATTTATACACACGGTTCCCTTTATGACTTGGCTCTCTCCTTTGAGAATTACTATTTTAAATGCCAAAGTTATGGGACACTCGGTTAACTGGTCTTCAGCTTAAATGCTTCATTTCTAATTCTGAAAAACCTCCTATCTTTTGCCTCAGGGGCTTTTAAAGGCAAAATTGTCTAAGATTCTTGGTTGAGCAAAGACCCTGACAATAACGTGTGGCTGCTTTTAATTTTTGATGATCTTATAATGTTTAAAGGTGGAAACTACAGCTTGAATAACTCTCTACCTAACTACTTAAAAAGTGTTTAAATGCATATTTTCTCCTTTCATTTTTGGAGCACTTAAGCAACTATTATGTAAATTTCAGGTTAAGTAAAACCTGTGAAAAACATATCCAGTTTACATATTCTTATGGCATTCAAATATTTTTACAAAAAAAAAAAACTAGGATACTGACATGATTTTTAACATCATTTTTCTTTTACTAACAGAAAGAGAAGCTAACCAAGCACAACCTCTTAAAACAGTGGGATTTATTTGGCCTTGGCAAGTCCTTGTGTGTTCCAGTGCCAAATGCTAGATAAGAAAAATGTGATTTGTGATGTTTGCGATTAGACAGCAGCCTGGCTCAAATTTCCCAAAGACAGGGAATTCGGTGTGTTTTCCAAAGTTTTATCCTGAGGAAGAAATGATCAGAACTGAAGAACATCAGAGCCTCAGAGCTCTCATCATGATGGCGCTCTCTGTGCGGGTGCACCCTGAGCCCGGTCCAGGTGTACCCCCCAACCCGAAAGCCACGCAGGTTGAGGGGATCGGCCTTCTCTTCCCCACCTGGTCCTGGCGTGGTGTTGCAGCCCTGCTCAGGAGTAAAGATCTGATTCAAATACCTTCTTGGGTAGACACTGTTTGTACACCCAGGCGTGCAGCCTGCTTTCCAGGGGTGGAATCAGACACGACGCTGTGTGTTAACCGCTGCCAGACGCACCTCCAGAGCCTCCATTCTGGATGAACTCAGAGATGCTTCTTCGGTGACCGCTTCCCACGGTGAGATCAACTTCCACTGAAAACGTAATGAAAGCCAGCAAACGGAAACTTCGAGCCCGAATATGCCTGTGTCTGTAGTGTGTCTTGAACAGTTTGGACATAGGCCTGATATTCTGTGATGCTGGCATTTCTGTGTGAGGATTGTACTTTCGGTATCTCTTTTTGTGATTTAGTATTTAGTCTTGTGATGTTATAGTTTCTTCTTTTAGTAAACTCGTGTTTACTTCTTAGAGTATTGTTCTGTCTTTTCAACTCAATGGGTGATGGATGATAGGAGGCAGCAGTAATCCCCTGGAAAATCACTACTTAACAGGGAATTATTAGGGAGTAATAATAAATATGACAATAAGGGTGAAAATATTCATGAGTGAGGAAAATAAAACCAGAAATATCTACCAAATAGACTTTATTTATCAATAATCACAACACTAAAATAGGTTGCTTTTAAAAAAAAAGATTTATTTATTTACTTGAGAGGTAGAGTTACAGACAGATAGGGAGAGACATAAAGAGAGGTCTTCCATCTGCTGTTTTACTCCCCAGATGGTGCAATGGCCAGAGCTAGGCCAATCTGAAGCCAGGAGCCAGGAGCTTCCTCTGGGTCTCCCATAGCGGTGCAGGGGCCCACGCAGTTAGGCCGTCTTTCACTGCTTCCCAAGGCCATAGCAGAGAGTTGGATGGGAAGTGGAGCAGCCAGGACTTGAACCTATGCCCAAACAGGATGCTGGTGCCACAAGTGGAGGCTTAGTCCACTATGCCACAGTATCGCCTCCCCCACCCCCAAAATAGGTTTGACGTGGGGCCAGTGTTGTGGCACACTGGATTAGTCAGCTGCCTGCAATGCCAGCATCTCATGTGAGCACCAGTTCAAGTCCTGGTTGCTTCACTTCCAATCCAGCTCCCTGCTAATGTTCCTGTCTTCTACCTCAAAGAAGACAGTAAAAGAGGCCTAAGTGCTAGAGCCCCTGCACGTACATGGGAGACCCAGTTGTAGTTACAGTCTCCTGGCTTTGGCCTGGCCCAGCCCTGGACGCTGTGGCCATTTGGGGAGTGGACTAGCAAATGGAAGATCTCTCTCTCTCCCCCTCCCCTTCAAATCAATCAATAAATCTTGGGAAAAAAGTAGGTTATGATAGCAGATAACTAAAGGAAATCTCCACCAATATGTCTGACTAATTTCGATCTCTGTGACACCAACTCTCATTAATTTCTATAAAGAAGGTATTGCCCCAAAGTGTTTAGGATTCTAAAGGAGACATATGTCCTACATGCAAGGAATGCTTTTCAGTCTTTTAGCAGATCCGCGTTTGGAAGCCAAGTTGAATCATGGACACCAGCCCTTTCTCTGAAATTCCCCACCTCATATTGCAACATTTCAGTCACAAGCAATCTCAAAAGTATCAAATAAACCAAAAACCAAACAAAACAAAGCAAAAAACTCAAAACACTAAATATCCCATTCCCCAAATCTATGTGCATATGCAGCTGGTCCAAGTTAAAACTGGATTTTTTTTTCCCTAAACATTTGCTGCCCCCACGTGTTCCTTTAGAAAACTGAGTGTCAAAGCATGATCTTGTTCACTTAGCACCTCCTGTGACGCATTGAGTACAATCAAAGAAACACCCTTGTCAGTCTAGAAAGACTAGGGATGTGGCAGGGGAAGGGCGAGAGTCTGGGCTTTTGCCATAGACTGCCCGGGTGGTCCCCCGTCAGACCATGACCTGTCTTTATTTCTTCAAACTTGAAACGGGTGGCAGGGTGGTCTAAGGCCCCATCTAGCTCTAACATTCAGCCATTCTCATGGAGGACAATACAAGAGAAGTAGGAAAATCCAGTTATTCCCTTTCTGGCTAAGTCATCAATTTGGAGGCGTGCCAAGACTCATGAATGAATTTCCTGTTTCGTCACTGGAATCCATTACCTAGGTCCTCTGCCATCTCGACAAACCTGCTTCTCAGTGTCTGGGTAGCACTGAGCCTCAAGAGAACAGAAGGAATTCATTTTGCTTAATGCCCAACAATTATGCAGTGCACTGCTTTTGACTTCAAAATTAAAATCATCTTCTGTGCCTATGGTATTTATCGGTAATACTTCTACAGCTCTGACTCATTCTGTTTTAACTTTTAATGTTTATTTTTAAATTTATTTTCATCTACTTGAAAGGCAGAGCTACAGAGAAAGCCTCATCCACCTGCTCCCTCCTCAAATGCCCGCAATGGTCAGGGTTGCGTCAGGCTGAAGTCAGGAGCCAGGAACTCCACCCATCTCCCTCGTGGGTGGCAGGGGCACAGCCACTTGAGCCACCATCTGCGGCCTCCCAGGATGTACTAGCAGAGAGTTCTATCAGAAGCGGTGGAACCAGGACCCAGACTGGCACTCCGCTATGGGATGTGAGTATTGCTTACCCAGCTGCGCCCCAACACCTGCCCCTAATTCTCCTATTAAACTTTATTTATTGGGACCGGTGCTGGTAAAACCTCCGCCTGCAGTGCCAGCATTCTGTATGGGTGCTGGTTTGAGTCCCGGCTGCTCCACTTCTGATCCAGCTCTCTGCTATGGCCTGGGAAAGCAGCAGAAGATGGCCCAAGTCCTTGGGCCCCTGCACCTGCGTGGGAAACCCAGAAGCAGCTCCTGGTTCCTGGCTTCAGATTGGCCCACCTCTGGTGATCAGCCCAGCTCTGACGGTTACAACCATTTGGGGAGTGAACCAGCCCATGGAAGACCTCTCTCTCTCTGCTTCTGCCTTTCTCTAACTTTGCCTTTCAGATAAATATATCTTTTAAAAATTATTTGAGTAGCAGAAAGACAGAGACAGAGTGTGTGTACCCTCATCCACTGGTTCATTTCCTAAACACTTTCTACAGGCTAGGAGTGAGTAGGGGCTGAGGCCAGGAGCCAGGATTAAAATCCAGGCCTCCCATATGGGTGGCAGGGATCTAACTTAACTACTTGATCCACCAGTGCTGTCTCCTAGAATCAGTAGGAAGCTGGAGTCAGCAGCCAGAGGCGGGTGTTCTGATCCATGTACTTCCGTATGGGATGCAGACATCTCAACAAGTATCTTCCCTGTGAGGCCAAACACCTGCCTTGGCTAGTTCTTACATCTTTAATGCAACAGTTGCTTTCTTGCCTCACAAGGGTACTTCAAAAAACTTATAGAAAACGGGATTAAGAGACAGATTTGTTTCAGCACTTAAAAAGAAAAAAACTGAAATCCATACATATAAGGGCTCTTCAAAAATTGCATGGGAAATACATATTATAAAAAAAAATCTACACTTGGGTTTCAAAATTTTTAGCACCCAAATAAACTAGTCTTTTTATTGTTTTTGTTTTTAAGATTTATTTATTTGAAAAGTGGAGTTATAGAAAGAGGGAGGGAGAGACAGAGAGAAGTCTTCCATCTGCTGGTTCACTCCTCGAATGGCTACAATGGTTGGGGCTGGGCCAGGCCGAAGCCAGGAGCCAAGAGCTTCTTTCAGGTCTTCCATGTGGATGCAGGGTCCAAACCACTTGGGCCATGTTCTGGTGTTTTTCCCAGGCCATAGCAGAGAGCTGAATGGGAAGTGGAACAGTCAGAACTCAAACCAATGCCTATATGGGATAGTGGCACAGCAGGTGGCAGCTTAACCTGCTACAGCACAGCACTGACCCCAAAACTTTTCTTTTAAAAAATATTTATTTATTTGGAAGAGAGAATGACACCTAGAGAAGAGAGAGAGAAACCATCCATCTACTGATTCACTCCCCAAATGACAACAGCCAGAGCCGGGCCAGGCTGAAGCCAGGAATCCAGAGTTCCACACAGGTCTCCTACATGGGTGTTGGGGGTCCAAGCACTTGGGCCATCTTCCCCTGCTTTCCCAGGTGCACTAGTAGGGAGCTGGACCAGAAGCAGAGCAGCTGGGACACAAACTGGCTCTTTGATAAGGGATGCCAGCATTACAGGCGACAGATTAACTTGCTGTGCCACACGCTGGCCCCCTAAGCTTGTCTTTTAATTCCATTTTCCCTGTACTTCCTTGGTAACAGCACTCACATTTTATTCAGTTACATGACAGTATGTGTTTTTGAAAAGCGTTGGGTCCTTCCCTTGTCCAAAAGGGTGAATCTTGATTCATCTAGGAGTTAGTCTGTTTATTGGCTAGCTTTCAACCTCACTGTTAATCAGTATCTTCTGGGGAACTCTATGAAAATACTGATATCCAAGCCTTTGTTAAGATTCAGTTTTAATCGGCATGGTCCCTGACAGTTTTTGAACTCTCCAAATGATGCTAATGTGCACCCTGGGTTATGAATTACTTACCTAAGCCAATGATAATCAGTCCTTTCTCATCTCTGGTGACTGGTTTAGGGATGAGCACATGCTGCAATTTTTAGCCAGTGGAATACAAAGGATGTCTTACTAGAAGTGGAGCTTCTGGGTGTTTTTCCCTTTTTTTAGATTTACTTATTTGAAAGTCAGAGTTACACAGAGAGAGGAAGAGATGGGGTGGGGTGAGGGGGATCTTCCATTCACTGGTTCACTCTCCAAATGGCCACAATGCCTAGGGCTGGGCCAGGCCAAAGCTAGGAATCAGGAGCTTCTTCTGGATCTCCCACATGAGTGGCAGGGGCCCAAACAGTTGGGCCACCTTCCACTGTTTTCACCCATACCATTAGCAGGGAGCTGGATTGAAAGTGGAGCTACTGGGACACGAACTGGCACCCATATGGAATGCCAGCATTGCAGGCAGTAACTTTACCGGTCATGTCACAACCCTGACCCCTAGTTTTCCTCAGTCTAAAAAAGGAACAGAAGATAAAGTAATGTCCTTATTTTCTCTCCCAGGTTCTGGTTATCAAGTAAGGATATAAGGGATGTGATATCTGGAGCTGCTGCAGCCATCTGATGACCATGAAGGAAGCTCTCATAGGGCAAAGTTAAAAGAAAAGAATTTCTGTCCTCTTATGGTCCTGTAACTGCACGATTAGTCAGTAAATGAGGTATAGTTGGAACCAAATCATCCTGATAAAAAATGCTAGAAGTTCTAGAAGAGGAAGCAGGAACACATGATTTTAATTGAGTTCCTTAAACTATGTCCACTGAATCCATGGGATCCTTTGGGATTTTGCTACATGCTACAGGGGCATTTTATAGGTGGGATTTGTGTGTGTGTGTGTGTGTGTGTGTGTGTTGTGTATCTTTACATAGTGAAATGTGTGAGGACACAAGTCTAGAAAATTATTCCTTTTGCAGCCAGCATTGTGGTACAGTAGGTTAAGCTACACCGGCATCCCATATGAGCAACAGTTCTAGTTCAAGTCCTAGCTGCTCCACTTCCAATCCAGTTCCCTGCTAATATGCCTGGGAAGGCAGTGGAATACAGCTCAAGTGCCTGGGCCCCTGCCACCCACAAGGGAAACCAGGTTGGAGTTAAGGCCTCCTGGCTTTGACCTGGCCCAGCCCCACCACTGCAGCCATTTGGGGAGTGAACTAGCAGCAGATGGACAAGCTCTCTCTAATTCTGCCTTTCAAATACATAAGTAAATCTTTTTTTTTTAAAAAAAGGAATATTAATCCTTCCATTTCTGTCTTCAAAGTAAAGCAGTTCATTTATTTGCAAACCTATCACAAGGACTGGGGCAGAGATAAGCTACAAGTGAAAAATTTCCAGTTCATTTGGATAAGATTAAGCCTAAAAAGGAAAGAGATTAGAATTAATACAAACTTAATCCCTAAATTGCCATAATATGTACAATATTTAATGTTATTTTTACTGCCATCATCTTCCATCTGATTACCAGTGATATAAAGATTATTACCATTTGCCAGGAATATGTAACTCATTAAACTTTTACTATCACAGCAGGGTCTTCTTATTGTTCGTTAACACTTAGCTTTAGTAGCTCATTTGTTTGAAATTTCTGTGCTTGGATGTTTCTTTTCTTTCTCATTTTTTTAGAGATTTATTTTATTTATTTGAAAGGCAGAGTTGGGGGGAGATAGAGGGATCTTCCATCTGCTGGTTCACTTCCCAAATGGCTGCAATGGCTAGGGCTGTGCCAGACTGAAGCCAGGAGCCAGGAGCCTCATCCAAATTTCCCACATGGGTGTAGGGGTCTAAGCACTTGGACCATCTGCCACTGCTTTCCCAGGCCAGTTGCAGGGAGCTGGATCAGAAGTGGAGCAGCCGGGACTTGAACCAGCACCTACATGGAATGGTGACATCACAGGCAGCTGCTTTTCCTGCTATGCCACAGCATCTGCCACGTGTTTTGTTTGTTTGCTTGTTTTTTAAAGGAGAGCTTTCGAGACCTTCTTTTCTACTCTTAGCTTGGGTTGTTGTGCTGTGAAATCCTTTCACACTTTCCTTCTGTTTCACTCTTTGCCCACAGGAATCGTTAGTACCACAGACTCTAAGTCACACTCATTTTATCAACCTTATTTTGAATATCATGTATTCATTCCAGAATATTCATATAACAGGACACTTTATCTGACAAAACAATGGGATTAGTGGTTTTTCCTCCAGTTGCTAGGAGGAACTTCATTTTAGTCTTCAGAATTCTTGTGTTTTCTGAGCATAGCAGTGTATTAGTAAAGCATGGGTCTTGTGAGTCATATGCACAAGTACCTAGACTTAAATATGTGCACATACCTAAAGCAGGTGTCACTTTTATCCTGGTAGCCATCCATTATAACGTGCAACTTAAAAATTCAAAGCCCCAAAGGCAGGATATGCAACATTTCAGGTCAACCTGTATGGGCTTTGAAACACTTTTTTCCCATTACTAGATGGCCTAATAGTTAACTGAATAAAAAACAGATTGAGAGTGTAGAAAAGATGCATGTATCCTCACCTAAATAAAGAACCCATTATTCAACTTCTTTTTGTCTACCAAGAAACCAAAGCCATCTAGTGGACATTATCATTACTGACTATGACCAAAACCGGCTGGGGAGAGCCGGTTTTGAGTGTCCCTGTGTCCTTAGAATGAGCTGCCCAGACACAGGTATGAAGTCACTGTCATCATCACAGCCGAGTCCAGGCTGGTGGAAGAGCAGGGGACCAGGCCTCTGTGCTATTTTTTTTTTTTTTCTATCATGGTTCTGTCACTTCGGCAATGGTTCCCAAATGTCAGCCCATGTTCCACCTCTATGCTGCTCTTGCTAGAGGCGTGTACCATATACATCCTTCGCAAAATAGAGAAGCAGCACACATAGTGAAATGCTCACATGCTTGGGAATGCTGATGGGTTTTCTGAGTGGCATGTGACTGGAATTGGAAGAACAGGATTCCAGGGTCAGCCACAAACAGGCCAGAGGACCTTGGGCAAGTTTCTTCTTGTAACCGGGTCACATTTGCTGATCTGTAGTGCAAGAGGAGAGGACGGGTCCCAGTGATCGCTGAGGCCCGTTCCAGTTCTCAGAGCCCCTTGAATCAGATCCACACATCTGTCAGCTGAGTTTCCAAACACGGCCTAGAAACGGTGATTCTACAAATGAAACATGCAGCTAAGAAACCATGGTCATGAGACCTGAAGACGTCATTGAATGTCTTCCTATTTTGTCACTTTCAGATGGAACTCGGGTAAACAATTCCATCCACATGTGCATAATCCTGTTTTAAAGTGATCATTCTCATTTGGCAAAACATATTCACTCATGCGTATCTCACTGTAAACCTGAACTTATAAAATCCAAATAATTTCTGTCTGGTATAGAGAAAATATATCCCTTAATCACGTTACTGGCTTCAATTAAGAGAACTATATGAATACATGCCAATAATATTCAGGAATATCATAAACATTATGATACTTCCTTAGGGGAACTGAATCATACAATCCTTGAATGGATTGCATACAATAATCTTTACACTCAGGTCATTATTGTGTGATTAAAAATGTTTTATAATGTTATTTACTGCCTATAAAATCCTCTAAATATATAATGATACTGCATTTGGACATTTCAATGCACAAAAATCAGATAAAAAGTACTTTAAGTCATAGACACCAGGGCCTACAAAACCACAAGTAGTTGGGCAGCCCTTCATTTAATGCCTTTATGCAGAGCGAAGGTAAACATCACCAGCAAATTTAGAATCTCTGCTGTTTACCAAAGTCTCTGCAGAGTTGGTCATTTTCCTTGGTAGCTTTATTGTAATACCTAAGAATCCTCAGTGTCTGATTTTTACGAATTTCATCTAGAGGCCTGATTTTTGGCACAGTAGGTTAAGCTGCTGCCCGGGACACTGGCTTCCCATATGAGCACTGGTTCAAGTCCCAGCTGCTCCATTTCCAAGCCAGCTCCTCATTAATGGCCTGGGAAAGCAGCAGATGAGGCCCAAGTGGGTGGGCCTCTTCCACCCATGTAGGAGACACCAGTGGGGTTTGAGGCTCCTGACTTCAGCCTGGCCCAGCCCTGGGCTTTGCAGCCATTTGGGGAGTGAACCAGTAGATGGAAGATTTCTCTTTCGCTTTCTCTGTAACTCTGCATTTCCTTCCTTCCTTCCTTCCTTCCTTCCTTCCTTCCTTCCTTCCTTCTCTCTCTCTCTCTCTCTCTCTTTCAGATTTATGTATTTTTGGCCGGCACCACGGCTCACTAGGCTAATCCTCCACCTTGCGGCGCCGGCACACCAGGTTCTAGTCCCGGTTGGGGCACCGGATTCTGTCCTGGTTGCCCCTCTTCCAGGCCAGCTCTCTGCTGTGGCCCAGGAGTGCAGTGGAGGATGGCCCAAGTGCTTGGGCCCTGCACCTGCATGGGAGACCAGGAGAAGCACCTGGCTCCTGGCTTCGGATCAGCGCAGTGTGCTGGCCGCAGCGCGCCAGCCGTGGCGGCCATTGGAGGGTGAACCAACGGCAAAAGGAAGACCTTTCTCTCTGTCTCTCTCTCTCACTATCCACTCTGCCTGTCAAAATAACAACAACAAAAAAAGATTTATGTATTTATTTAAGAGGCAAAGTTACAGGCAGAGAAGGAAAGACAGAGAGAGAGAGAGGTCTTCATCCACTGGTTCACTCCCTAGATGGCCACAACAGCCAGAGCTGATCCGTAGCCAGGGTCCAGGAGTTCCTTCTGGGTCTCTGCATTTCAAATAAAATAAAATAAATCTGTTTAAAAATTTATTTCAACTAATCCTTTTTGCAAGGATTTGTTTATTTTTAAATGTGTGTTGTGTTCATTTATTTATTTGAAAGAGACACAGAGAGAGAAGGAGAAGGAGAGAGAGAGATCTTACATCTGCTGGTTCACTCCCCAAATGGCTGCAACTGCTAGGGCTGTTCCAGGCTGAAGCCAGGAGCCAGCAGCTTCTTCTGGGTCTCCCACGTGGATGCAGGGGCCCACGCACTTGGGCCATCTTCCGCTGCTTTCTCAGGCACATCAGCAGGGAGTTGGATCAGAAGTAGAGCAGCTGGGACTCGAAACGGCACTCATATGGGATGCTGGTACTGCAGGCAGAAGCTCAACCTTCTATGCCACAGCACTGGCCCCTTTGCAGGGGTTTACATGTATTTTTTCTTGTTCTTTTTAAGTGAGGTGCAGAGAACTGCTGGGAACTGGTTTTGCACAGTGACTTCCTCATTCTTAGTAACCATCTCCAAGTGTGGCAACGGGGGACAGTTCTTCGGTGATTCAGCAAACACTCCTGTACTGGGCACTGTTATAGGTTTTGAAGCTAAAACAACGAGGAAAAAAAGAAGCCCCCCCCTTGGAGGGAGGAAAACAATGAATAAGGTAAATAAGTAAAATATAACATACAGTATATTGGAGAACGGCAGGGGCTAAATGAAGAAAGGAAGTTTGAAGCACTGATGGGGATGGCTTGAATCTAGATAGGGACATCCCAACGATAAGGGGACATGTGTGTCACCAGACAAATATTTCAGGCAGAGAAACCATCAAGTACAAAGGCCCTGAGGCACAACCTTGAATGGCGTGCGTGGTAGACGTAAATGAGCAAGGGAAAGAGCAGTGCCGGTTGAAGCCAGAACCGAGAAACAGTGGGGGCTGGGGCTGGAGGTGTCCCCAGTGACAGCACCGTGAGACTCGGGAGGGACTTCAGCTTCTCCTCCGGGAAAGCAGAGCCTTTGCAGGGGCTAGCCTTTGCCTAGGAACCACAGGACCTGATGCATGTGTTAGCAGAGTCGCTGTGCCTGGACACGACCTGATGCTAGTGTTAGCAGAGTCGCTGTGGCTGCTGTGCCCTGTCGGGGGACACATTTGGAGGTTGTGGCAATTACCAGGGGTCTGATGAATACCTTGAGAGAGCTCACATATGAACAGGGCAGAGGCCCGAGGCAGCCTGGGCTTCTCTACCTGGTTTAGAGGTAGGGAGATGACACACACCCGAGAAAGAATGACTTAAGAGGAGGAGGAAAAGCACTCAGCATGGACCCTGGGAGCCAATTTCCAGGAAGAAGGAGTGGGCCACTGAGTCTAATGCTGCTGCTTTAGGCTTTAGCCACACAGAGGCCTGTGCAGTGGTAGAACCAGCAGGGATGCTGGACTAAGAGTTTTAGCCAAACTTACCATGTAATACCTGGGTACTGTTGGGTAAGCATTCACTTATGCCTCTGTCCTTCAGCGTTCTTATTGGTAAAACAGGTGTGATAAGGCCTACCTCAGGGTGCTGAGGTTTTAAAGAGGTGATATTAGTAAAGTCTACATTAGCTGGCACCGCAGCTCACTAGGCTAATCCTCCGCCTGCGGCACCGGCACACTGGGTTTTAGTCCCAGTTGGGGCGCCGGATTCTGTCCTGGTTGCCCCTCTTCCAGGCCAGCTCTCTGCTGAGGCCCAGGAGTGTAGTGGAGGATGGCCCAGGTCCTTGGGCCCTGCACCTGCATGGGAGACCAGGAGAAGCACCTGGCTCCTGGCTTCGGATCAGCGTGGTGCACCGGCTGCAGCGGCCATTGGAGGGTGAACCAACGGCAAAGGAAGACCTTTCTCTCTGTCTCTCTCTCTCTCTCTCTCTCTCTCTCTCTCACTGTCCACTCTGCCTGTCCAAAAGAAAAGAAAAAGAAAGTCTACATTGGTGTGGCAAAGCTGACACAAATACCAGAGGCTGGGCAGCTTCCATCACAGAAATGTTTTGCCTCACAGTTCTGGAGGCTGGGTGCCTAGGGTCAAGATGCTGCCCAGGTTGCTCTATGGGGAGGCTGCTCCTCCTGGTTGATTGACAGCGGCCTCCTGCCTGTGTCCTCACATGGCATTTCCTGTGCGTGCATGCAGAGGACCAGGGTGATCTCTCTGAGCAGTCTCTGTCCTTTCTTACAAGGACATTCATTGGTCCTATCAGATAAGGGCCCAACCCTATGACCTCATAGACTTTTATTACCTCCTGGAAGGCCCTGTCTACCAATACAGCCATGTTGGAGGCTCAAGCTCTGAATTCCATGAGGGGACAGCATTCAGCCCATATCAAAACCCCCAGCATTTCTCAAAGTTCAAAAACTGTGAATCCATCCCTCAATTACTCTATTGTTGCTTGCTATAACCACTTCAAGGCTTTTGTTAGTTTTACGGTTTAAAGCACAATATAAAATAAAATGCACATTAAATTCTCATCCATATGTATATTTAAAAATATCTAACTCATCTAAGCAAGATTTAATTAGCCTCTTACAAAGGAACTTAACTTTTAAGACTCAAGTTGGCCAACACTGCCATCTACTGGAATTTTGTCAAAGTTCAATTGTTGGGCTTTACTCTTGGTCATTAACAGATTCTTACATGCTGTTATGATTATTTTTCTGATAGATGTGAAAATGCATGGTTTTGTTTTTAATTTCATCCTAAAATCAATATTTTAAGAAACACACAAAGATCCTAACACAACAGATTTAGCTTCTTCCTACAACTGAGATTTTTTTTTTAATTTTTGAAAGGCAGGGTGAAAAGAAGAGTAAGAGGGGGCAAGGGAGAGAGTGAGACACAGAGATCTCAGATCCTCTAGTTCATTCCTAAAATGCCTGCAACAGCTGAGGCTGGGCCAGGCTGAAGCCAGGAGTCTGGGAACTCCACTCAGGTCTCCCACTCGGGTCTCCCACACGGGTGGCAGGGGCTCAAGTACTCAGGCCACCTTCCACTGCCTTCCCAGGCACATTATCTGGGAGATGGATCAGAAACAGAGCAGCTGGGACTTGAACTGGTGCTCTGCTAGGGGCTGCTGGCAACACAGGTGGTGGCTTAACTTGCTACACCGCAACACCAGCCCCTGGGATTCATTTCAGATCTGACAAATGCTAAGTGGTGGGCACGGAGGTGGAAAGGAAAACTGGCTTCTGGAGATGACTTGGTTCTCAGCAGTCTCAACTATGAAATGTCTGGTGTCCCGGCTCACGCAATCCAGGAATAAAGAGAGCCCGTCAGTAGGCTGGTCGAGGACAGTGAAAGTTTCAGATCTCGAGTTAAGGACTCTTACCTGCTGACTGCATGGACCAAGTCCCAACACCGCAGAGCTGCTTTTGACAGCTGTATGACAAGGGGAAGGGTCTCAGCCTCAGGAGAGAAGCACAACTGATGTGGCCGAATGGCACCCTGATGACACTGCTGTGAGAGGAACAGACAGACATCTTACTTTGCTGAAAGAAATGTGAGCTATGAAACTGACCCACACGTCTATGACCCCACTGTGAAATATACCCAAATAGACGTGTGTGCGCCCTTTAACCCAGTGATTCCACCTGGTGTTGATTCTATGGTCGGAGCTGCAAGTGTATGAAATGATGGAAATGCGTATAGTGTGTAATGTTCATGACAGCAAAGATTGGAAAAACGTAAATGCTGTCAATAAGACACTGTTTAAATAAGTCATGCTACAGTCACATAAAGGAATATTATTCAGTCATTAAAAGAACAAGGCAGTGTTCTGTGATCTCTTATCGATTAATTTCCAAAACATATTGTTAAAGAAAAAAAAAAACCCAGGTACAAGACACTATGTGTAGTACACATGTCTGTTAGGAATGGTATTATGTTCTCTATGACAGTAAACTCATCACAGTGGTTTAAACTGTTTCTCCTGTAGATAAAAAAATTTAGGTATAAATAGGCCACGGCTTGTAAGAGGACTCCATGATTCTCAAGACCTAAGTTCCTTCATCTCCTTCTGCCATCCTGAGTAGGTTGTTTCATGGCCTAAAATGACTGCTTAAATGCTTCTTGGCCTTTTGGCTAAGATCAAGTGTAAAATGGCCGCTGAAGCTCCAGTCATCAAGTGTACATTCCAGCCAGCAGAAAGAAGGCTTTTGACAAGTGAGACATACACTTGGGCTTCTATTCCAGTATTTAGAACTTAGTTACGGCCCGCGCGGCCCCGCCCCGCCCGCGCGCCGGCGTCAGCTGCGTCTCCGGTATTTGAATTGCGCTTCCGCCATCTTTCCAGCCTCAGTTGGACGGGCGCGGAGACGCTTCTGGAAGAAAACGCCGCGATGGCCGCGCAGGGAGAGCCCCAAGTGCAGTTCAAACTGGTGCTGGTCGGCGACGGCGGCACCGGGAAGACGACCTTCGTGAAGCGCCACCTGACCGGCGAGTTCGAGAAGAACCACGCTGGGCGTCGAGGTGCACCCGCTCGTGTTCCACACCAACCGGGGCCCCATCAAGTTCAACGTCTGGGACACGGCCAGCCAGGAGAAGTTCGGCGGCCTGCGGGGCGGCTACTACATCCAAGCCCAGTGTGCCATCATAATGTTTGATGTGACATCCAGAGTGACCTGCAAGAACGTGCCTAACCGGCATAGAGACCTGGTGCGCGTGTGTGAAAACATCCCCATCGTGCTGTGTGGCAACAAAGTGGATATTAAGGACAGGAAAGTTAAGGCAAAGTCCATTGTCTTCCACCGAAAGAAGAACCTTCAGTACTATGATATTTCGGCCAAAAGTAACTACAACTTTGAAAAGCCCTTCCTCTGGCTTGCTAGAAAGCTCATTGGAGACCCCAACTTGGAGTTCGTCGCCATGCCCGCTCTTGCCCCACCAGAGGTGGTCATGGACCCAGCCTTGGCAGCGCAGTATGAGCACGACTTAGAGGTTGCTCAGACGACTGCTCTCCCCGACGAGGACGATGACCTGTGAGTGCGTGAAGCTGGAGCCCGGCGTCAGAAGTCTAGTTTTATAGGCAACTGTCCTGTGATGTCAGCGGTGCAGCGTGTGTGCCACTCTTATTACTAGCTAAGCAGAACATGTGCTTCATCTGTGGGTGCTGAAGGAGATGAATGGGCTTCGGAGTGAATGTGGCAGTTAAAAATACCTTCATTTTTTGGACCTCTGCATATTTAGCTGTTTTGGAACGCAGTTGTTTTCTCTCAAGTTTCAAATACAAGACTGCTAACAGTCACATCACAATATTCAGTGGTGGAATCTTGTTTGTTACTGTCATTCCCATTCCTTTTCGTTTAGAATCAGAATAAAGTTGTATTTCAAATATCAAAAAAAAAAAAAAAGAACTTAGTTACACAGACACTACTGTTATCTAAAGCAAAGGCTGTGAAATGAATTGTTATTTATTTTATTCAAAAGGCAGAGAGAGAGAGAGAGAGAGAGTTTCCATCCACTGGTTTACTCCCCCAAGTGCCTACAAGAGCCAGGAGGAGTGATCCAAAGCTGGGAGCTCAGAATTCAATCCAGGTCTCCCACATGAGAGTCAAGGACCAGCTACTTGAGCCATCACTGCTGCCTGTCTGTGTAAGCAGGAAGCTGGAATCAAAAAGCAGGAGCTGGGGGGGCCGGCACTGTGGCACAGAGGGTGAAGCTGCGGCCCCCAGCGCTGGCATCCTATATGGGCACCAGTTCATGCCCTGGCTGCCTCACTTCCAGTTCATCTCCCTGCTAATGGCTTGGGGAAAGTAGCAGCAAATGGCACAAGTGCTTGGGCCCCTGCACACATGTGGGAGACCCAGATGAAGCTCCTGACTCCTGGCTTTGGTCTGGCCCAGCCCTGGCCATTGAGGCCATCTGGGGAGTGAACCAATGGATGGAAGATCTGTCTCTTCCTCTCACTCTGTAACTTTTTCAAAATAAACAAATCTTTAAAAACAAAAGAAAAAGCTGGAGCCACACTGATAGGGAATGAAGGAGTCTTAACTGCTAGGCCAGATGTCCACCCCAGAAATGCAGACAGTGAGAATCCCCAAATACAGCAGGATGCTTTTATCAAAGGAATGGGCAGATAGGTGTTGGTGTGTGTGGGGAGGATAAATAATGCGTACATGTTTGTAAAAGTATAGGTTATTTTAGAAATACACAAGAACCTAGTAACAGCGGGTGTCTTTGGAAGGTAGAGACCGTTTTTGCAAATTATCATTCTGTGGCTTTTGAATTTTACAAGTGACCATGTATTTTGTGTAGAAAAAATTATGACGCAAAAATTGACATTTGTCTTTAAGATTTTATATGTGGCTTAAGCTAGAAGTTGCTTTCTCTCCATCACCCTCATTCACATCCAACTTCATTGAAGTATAATTGACAAATAAGAAGTATGTAGATTTCAGACGCAGATGTGGGGTTTTGATATATGGTGTGAAATGATTATCACAAGCAAGCTAATCACCATATCTATCACCTCGCTTAGTTAACATTTTTGTGCATAGTAAGGATGCTTCAGGTCTACTCTCTTTGGCTAAGCATTTCTAGAGGGAATGATGTAGGGAGAAGCAGAAGGAAAGACCTGGGGAGTCATGACTTGTTCTGATCACAGGGAAGAGAGGAGAGTCAGGCTGACCTGCACCCCATCTGCACCCCCTCCACAGGATGCTGTGACCTCAGCATGTGTTTCTCGGCTGAGATGAGATGGGAGAGGAGTTTGTGTGAATGGAGAGAAAAGAAGGACTCGAGGAGGAGAAAGTCCTTTCCAGCTACTGACTTTGTGTTATTATTTCCCTGCACTCTGCTGCTTAGGCTGCTCAATCTATAAACAAGATAATATACAGCTGAACTGTGGAATCTGATATCCCAAACAAACAGCTACAATCGATAGAACACATTTGAATGCTTGGCTCTTCTTTCCTCTAAGAGGAAGGCTGGGGCGCCCAAGAAGTGCGCCAGAGGTCCCTGCTCAGTGCCCTGTAGGGGGTGGGTCATGTGTCTTGAGTGGCAGCCTACAGTGCCGGGTCTGGACTTGCCTGCTACTCCACCTGCTTGCTGATGCCTGAAATTCCTTTAACACAAGATAAAAACCCTCATTCCACAATTTAGAGATAACTGAAAGGCACGTGGCCATGAGGCTGAAATGGCCAGCTCTAGAGTGCCAGAGCACTGACATGGAGCAGGGGTGCAGCAGGCAGCTGCCACTGGGAGTGACAGGGGGTGCAGAGGATGGAGGGTGCCCCCGGGAATGTTATCCCAGAGGAGGGGCCATCTCTGGACTGGTGGGGAGGGACAGGCAGCCTAAGCCCTTGAGATAGAAAGATGCTCTCATTTAAGGAGAGCTTCTGTGACTCAGAGCAAAGAGGCTTACAGGGAGAAAGCTGCAGTGCTGAGAATGTTCTAGAAGAGCTGTGTTCCATTCCTATGGGAGCAGCCCTTGCCACTGGGATACACATTTTATTTTTATTTTTTAAAAATATTTATTTTATTTATTTGAAAAAGTTACAGAGAAAGGGAGAGAGAGAGAGAGAGAGAGAGAGGTCTTCCATCCACCGGTTCACTCCCCAGATGGCTGCAAGGGCCAGAGCTATGCTGATCTGAAGTCAGGAACCAGGAGCATCTTCCGGGTCTCCCACGCAGGTTCAGGGGCCCAAGGACTTGGGCCATTTTCCACTGCTTTCCCAGGCCATAGAAGAGAGCTGGATCGGAAGTGGAGCAGCCGGGACTCGAACAGGCACCCATACGGGATGCTGGTGCTTCAAGCCGGGGCTTTAACCCGCTGTGCCACAAGCGCCAGCCCCCTGGGGTACATGTTTTAAACATGATGTAGAATCAGCAATGAAGGCACCTCTAGCAGTAGACCCATGGTCCAGAAAGCTTCCACTGGCCTCTTTAATTTTTTCTCTCCACTGCTTTATTAAGTATATATTCACCCCACAATACAGAATATTTAGACATTTAGCACTAATGTAACTATATATTTATTTTTATTAATCTAAATGCATACTAATTTAGTGGGTTTATTTTTTCATTTCAAAATGGATTTTTAAAAGGATCTAGTAGTTTCTTATAAACTAAACATGGGTAACAGCTTTTTATCCTAGCGGTTACAACACCAGTTAAGATGCCCACATATTGTAGCATATTGGAGTACCTGGGTCTGATACCATGCTCGGGCTCCTGACTCCAGTTTCCTGTTAATACAGACCCTGGGAGGCAGCAATGGCGGCTCAAGTAATCGGATCCCCACTACTCATGGAGGAGATCTAGATTGAGTTGCTGGCTCATGGCTTTGACCTGGCCCAGCCTGACCACTGTGGGCATTAGAAAATGAATTAGCAGATGGAAGCACCACCCCACTCCCCATTCTTCAAATAAATAAATAAACTCTACAATTAAACATGTATTTTAGTTGACATATTAATTTAATTAAATATATATGTTTAATATGTTAATATGGCAACTCC